AATCCAAGCTCATCTTAACTTGAGGTTTTGAGCTGAAATGTCTGCCATGATTCTAATGGTCTTTCCTTGATATGTGAGTTGTATCTTTTTATAACAGCTTTCATCTGCTTTTATGGTGCATGTCTTGGATCTTAATCATTATATGTCTGGGTGTAGATTTATGTTGGTTGTGATTGTTTGGCATTCTATATGCCTCACTTATCTGCATATCAGATTTTTCCCCATGTGAACAATTTTCTGCTATTACTTCTGTTAATAGTTTACATATGTCATTTGCATTGTCTTCTTCACCTCTGCTGATGACTATTAATTTTATACTGTTTCTCATGGCATCATCTCAAAGCCTGCTGCATTGTTATTTTGTGCTGCTTTGTTATTTTTAAAAATTCTAAACTTTCATGGTCGTAAAGTGTGATCCTGTCCTCAAATTTTGAAATTCTATCCTCAGCTTCATTTAAATGGCTTTTCCAGCTTTCAATAGAAATTTTTGCTTCTTGGATGCCTGTTTGAGTTCATGTAATGAATTCTGCTTGTTTTCTATTGTGTTCACTCAAGGTTTCCATCAGGTTCCAGTGCTCTTATATATCTTCATCTATTTCTTCTCTAGTTGCACTGAGCAACTCCTTTACTGCAGTTATTATTTCTGTCTTTATATGAGATATTACTTCTAATTTGTTTTCCTCTGTAGCCTCATGGAGTTGTATTTTATTTCTCTTGCTATCTTTTCAGAGACTTGTGTTGTGTTATTTTTGAAGTCTCCTATTTCAGTGTCTCCTACTATTGCTCTTGATGGGTTAGATGTTTGAGATTGCATTTTGCTTCTTCATTTTTCCATTTTATCTTTTCAGGTTAGCATTTAGTTCTTCAACCTCATTAAAGTCAACTGTTGGTAGTGTGTATCTTGGGGTCCTACTGTGAGGCTGATGTTTGTCCAACTGCTGGTTTCCACAATGAGGAGGTGAGCCATTCATTTGAATTCCCCCTGAAGGGCCTGTTGAGTCAGTCCCATATTCTTCCTAGGCTGACAAGCTTAGGAGTATTGATGGAAATCAACTCTTAACTCCTGATGCTATTATGTCTTAAGGTGGTTCAGAGTCACTAGATCTCCCTGTTTGTTTGGTTTTTTTTTTCTTATCTTGGGCCCTACTGTTTCTCTGGGTGTCTCATAGGCCCTTTTAATTTCTCCACATGTGGGGAGGCCTTATTGGCACTCTCTTCAACATATCTGATATTCTCTGTATGGAGGAATGACTCCCCTACCCACTTGCCATGCTCACCTTTGGCCTATTTTTGGAGGAGGATTCACTATTGCTCCTGTTTACTCACTGAAGGTGGTGAACTCTTTTCTTATTTTAAGGGGCAAACTCACCTCATGGATGGAAGCCCGCTGAGATCTTTTGTTTGTATGAGGGGTTACTGAGTCTCCCCTCTATACTGCATGGTTAATCCACCACAGCACAGAGTTCTGTGGGAGACTTGGCAGCCAAAGATCAACAGCAATACTAGATCCAGGAGTTGGGGGAGTACCCCATGGCAGTGGTGGGACTGCAGTGATGCATATCATGGGCTGGAATTCCTGGGTTCTGAGGTGGGTGGCCAAGTCTGCAGGGATATGAGAGGGGCCTGATTTTGCCCCAGCCCCACACACACTTTTGGCTGAAGTTCCTGGGTCTTCTAAGGTGGTCTTCCGGGATGGCAAGGGTCATGGGAGGAGCCGAGTCTGGTGCACACTGCTGTTGGAGTTCATAGGTCTTGTGAGGTAGTCTGCAGGGAAGACAGAGACCATGGGAAGTGCCTGGGTCTACCTCATCCCTGAATGTGACACTGGCTGTAGTTTCCCATTAATTTCAAAATATATTGTTTTAATAAAATAGGTCTAGTGTCTGAGGCAATTCTGCACCATTTTCCTGTCTTATATTTGCTACAGATTGGGATTTATTATGATACATAAAGGAGTATTACTTCTTTCATGAATAGTCTTGCACTTGTAATTGTTAAGAACTGTTACATTTTTTCATCTGAAATTTGTCTACCTGTTTGGTCCATTGATTCTACTATTAATCTTATTATTTGTGCTTAATTTTAATTATGGTCTTTTTGTTTTCCAAAACTGGTTTTCAACATTGTTGCCAGTTTTAGTACTTTGATTTATAGATTGATATTCCTGAATCCCCTAAAACATATAAGAATTTCTCTCACATTAGCATTTTAGCATACTTGAAATTGCCCATTATCTGTTATACAAAATACTCTTTAGGATGGCAAAGTGTTCAATCCATATTTTAACTCAGGCTCAAAATTGTTAGTGTGTTGTAATTTTTCTTTGCATAGTTGTCTAAATGTTTCCATGTACTCTGGTTCAATAATCCTTTGTGAATGAGAATCATGTATCTGTATATGTAGTTTTTACTTTATACACATTTTACATATAAATCAGTAGGGAAAGGATACAATGCTGTCTGACTGTACTAATGTTGGAGTAAAGGATAGTGCTTGATAGCCAGGGAGGAAATTTCAGCAAACTGTTCCAGTCCATTGGGATGCAAGGAGGAGCAAGGCAAGGAAACTAGAAGGCCAGAACACTGCCTGTCAGATATCCCAGGCCTTCCAATGGGACAGGAAGCAAGTCAGTTTCTTCTACTGTTAGCAATACATGAAAGCTGTGCACCACTTTCAGTTACTGAAATAATATTCCCATTCAGGCTGAGATTGTCCTGTAGTGAAATGCAAACTCTGTTATACAATGTTGGGTGAAATCCACCTTTGCCCAGTTACCATCTATTGAGACCCATATATTTCTTAGGAGAACCTATATTCTTGTCCTAAGATGTTTTTTTTTTGAAAACAAGAATGCATATATATGCCTACTGCGAGAAGACTATCAGTTAACCACACCAAATAAGATAATAAAACTTATTTTAAAGTAATGTAATGTCTGAAAAAGTCATCATAAACACTAAGCATCAGGTGCACTTCAAGAAAAGAAAGAGGCTAAGACAGGTGGCCAGACACACTTTTCCCCACTCTCCACCATGCAAGGTACCAGACTTGGGACCAGAGACAGCAATGAAACAGGAAAGAATTTGAGGCAAAGAACTCCAATTGCAGGTACCCACAGATTATACCAGTGCAGAGCACAAAACAGGAGAGTTTCTTTAGCTTTTAGAACAACCATTCAAGTAGCCACTTCCAGAAAATTGGGCAAACACATAAAGGTCTCAATATAGTAAAATCAAATTTCGCTTTTTATTAGTAAATTGATGAAGTCAAACAACAGCTTAATCAGCCACCTATGTTCAACAAATGATGCAGAAAATCTTTCAAACACCTTTTCCCAGCTCTTAGAATCCAAGGATCATGTTTATGATCAGAGATCCAGTCATATCTTAGGGTCAACACACTCTGAGATTCTGTTCCCTAGAAAAACAAGGATAAGAGAACACTGTAAATGTGCCGAGTGTCAGTGTCAGCAAGGCCAGGCCTTACTATTCTGGATGGCCAGGAATCCCTGTTGCTTGAAGTGCACTGGTGCAGTAGTGAGGGATCAAGACAATGTATTTGCACTGCTCTGAGTTGAGGCTGAGGAGGTGCTTTCTGGAGGTAAATGCTCAACTGTTGAGCCACTACACTAGCCACAGAATACTACAACAGAAACAGAATAATTAATTTCACTTTATAGTATGGTCTCAGTATGCATCCATTTACCTAGGAATGGCTCAAGCTTACCCTTTTTATGGCTTGATAGTAATCAATTTTAAATTAAAAACAACATATCTTCTGTGTCCATTTGTCAGTTGTTGAGCATTTATGGTGTTTCTAAGATTTAGCTATTTGAGAACTGCTAGTGGAAACATGAGTGTGCATATATCCCTATGATGTGATGTATTAAATTGTTTTCTGAACACACCAAGTATAATAACTAGAAGAAATGGAAGTCTAGATTTTTTTAGAAATTTCACAAAAGTTTAGAGAACTTTTCTAAAATCTCAGTTTCTCCTATACTTTCTTGCTCTTTACAGCTTTCATACTACCAGTGCTGACTGCCACATGCTGCTGTTTAGGCCATCCTCTCCTGTCTTCCCTCATTGATCCTATAGTCTAGGATGCCTCTAATCCTACTTGTTTTACTCCTTCCACTCTGGTGTTAATTGGAATCACATTTCCCCTGTGTTCTCCAACACCCAGTAGCCCCTAAATATCATAAAGGCATCTCAAACTTGTAATCTATCACTTGTTAATCAATGGATTTCTTAAGGTCACCCACTCACCTTACAACACCCCTATTCTACATGTACTCAAATCCAATGATTTTTACCACATTGTGCAGGATGTCAGAGACATTAACAATGTTGTGATACCAATTCATCTGATGATGTCAAACCCCTGTACTATATTGTCTCATTCCTCAACCTTTCATTTTTCTGTATTAGACTTTAAAGATGCATTTTCATTATTCTCTTACAACCTGATTGCCAAGATTTCTTTGCCTTTTGTATGGACAGATCCAGTCACTGCAGTCTACACAGCTCACATAGATGGTTCTACCTAAAGTCTTCAGGAATAGTCTGGCTTTCTTTAGCCAAGCCCTTTCTACTCACCTTGCAATCTCAAACTTAATATTCTTCTCCAATATATAGATGATTTTTCTCTATTCTCAATCTTGGGCTCTAGTGATACAACATAGCCCTCTTCACCCTCAGCCTATAACTTATCTCATCAAACATAAGGGTTCACTGGTCTTAATCCTACCATGATCACCTAAAGAAAACCTGTACCTTGAGCACTTTTACTTTTGATGTTCCACTGAATTCTTTAGCTTGTGTCAAGAATTACCATGTGATTTTTTAGTCCATCATTCTACCTGTGCCCTTAAAATGCCAACTACCTGAATTGTTACGATGCATCATACTTCCACTGTTCTCCTGGGGCTGTGAATCTTTGGGCTCAGCAAGAGGTGACTTTTGAACTAATCATGGTGGACTCATTTATATAGTCATTACTCATCACAAATGTTGTTGGTCCCAAAAGTTACATTTTGCCATTCAACATCTGCAGACATTTCCTCTGCTTCCAGAAAGCCAAACATGGGGTTTCCAACTGCATCAGGTACCAACATCGTATAATGCAAGAGGTTTGAAACTCTCCACAAGAGGGTAATATGAAACCTGTGATGCCTCCTTCTTGGTTTACTGCCTTCATCTTTATCTTCTCATGCCCCTGTCTCACTATCTATTCCTCATATCTTTAACAATATTTATCAATTTTTAAAGACTGTTCTTCAGATACCCAACACTACAGACCTCTCTGATTGCTGGCTCTGCCTACCTCTTCAACAAGACCTCTACATTGCTTATCCTGTCACTCAAGGCATCTCCACACTACAAAGAAACTCACATGCCAAAATCATTGGCCTTCTAAATCTTGCTCAAATGCATTTCTGGTATTCACCACCTTAACCCTCATGGAACAATCCCTAAGGTGGAAAATTTAGACTTTTGCACATCTTTCCACTCTATGGCATACACCTCAACTGTTGTATGTCCACTGCATGGACAATTTTTTATCTCTGGATGTGGAGTATATACGTGTTTCCCATGCAAATGGCAGGGCTCCTATACTTTAGCAGTAGTGGCACCATGAGTCATACTTCATACTAAAGCCCAAATCATAAACAGGTTACAAATCTCACTATCACCCTCACATAATCAAATATCCCACAGAGACATTCTTGTTTCTGTAAGTCTAACAGGATTAGTTAGGTTTCTTCTCAGCTATTGGTATGAAGGTTGGAGGTATCGGAATGGGCACTGACTTATACGCCCAGTTATCTTAGGAATTAAAAACATCCATTTATGGCACCTCAAAAACTGTAGACTCCCTTCAGGACCAAATCAACTCACTGGCTTCAGTGGTTCTCCAAAATGTCCAAGTTCTTGATGTCCTGGTGGCTGAAAGGGGAAGCACCTGTGAAATGCTGGGTGAAGAATGCTGTTACTTTATAAATCACTCATATATTTTCAAAAATCAAGTTAAAAAGTGTTGGGAGCTTGTGGCTGATGTAGAATAAATGATCACAAGTTCTGGTTCTCTTCTCTGGTTTACCTGGTGACCCAATATAGACTCTTGCACACCCATTATCTGCCCCATTTTAGGTCGTTGAATCACAGTTTTTGTACTTACACTACCATGTATCTTTAAATTGCTCTTGACATTTATGTAACCTCGCATATGTATCTTCACCATCAAAGAGCTTCTTGTCCTAGCTATTGCTCCAAGCAACAGTTTTTATTAGCAATCTTCCTGCCAAACTCATCAGAACTTATCATGACACCCCTGTTCAGCAGGAGTCATTCTAAGACAGTCATCACCTCATAACAACCAAAAGACAGGAATGCTGGGTTTATGCATATATGACATTCACTGAGTCATCCTGGTGATGGTTCAATATGGAAACAGCAACAAACTACAGCACATCAATTTACTCTTTCTTCTTTCCTCAGGTCAAAATAAACTTTCAGTTTCCTGTTTTTATGCTCTTCCAATCCATTTCTGAAATGTCACCTTGCTCACCTCCCCAAGCTCCACCCCCAGTTTCACATAATAAAAGCCCAGTTGTTTACTCTGGTAAAAGGGAATCTTGCATTCCTTTGCAATCCTCCCACACCCACTAAAAAGTCTCTCTCTCTCTCTCTCTCTCTCTCTCTCTCTCTCTCTCTCTGTCTCAACCACTCAAAAAAAAAAACCTAACAACTAAAGAAGTTGTTAAGAAAAAGCAAAAAATATGCATTTTAAAGAATCAAAGGTAAAGAAGGGAAGAAAAAAACATGTCCACTTTAGGTGTATCTCTGATGTCACTGGTTGACAGAGGGGGCAAATAGGGCCCAGATCTATGTTGACTGATCCCAGCAAACCAGCAGTAGAATTGTGGTTGTGGTGGATAATCCTAGCAAATCCTGAATTTCAGGCTGCTTCTGGGTTCTGGCTATTGGCTTGTATATGAAGATTTTCATCCCACAACACTCTGGATAACTGCTGCATACTTGAAATCTGCTCCATCTGCTTGGATTCTACTCCCTAAACAGACAATTTGAACTTGATTGTCCTTCACTCTGACACTTGTGGCCAATAGATACAGCCAAGCCTCTAGATGTTCTGAGTTGTGACTTCTGTTGCCCTTTCCTGAATGGGAACTGATCAGTCATCCTTTTGGGGCAACATCTTAACCCAAATAAGTCATCAGCCACAACAATTCCACAGTGTCCAATACTCTCTTCCACTGGTGTGTTTCTCTGTGGAGGCCTCAGGGGTTGCCAGTAGTCTCTGTGCCTCTGTGAGTTCTAGCTGCCCCCCCCCACAGACCCTAAGCGTAAGTTCAGAGAGAAGACACTGCTTTGCCACCTTGTTGTTCTGCATTGCGGTTTCCCTGTTCACTCTCCCTGTGATCCATTCTGAGTCCCAGGCACCCACTTTCCACCTCCTCCTGTTATTCACAATGTTGTATCCCAGTGTCCACATTCCAAATATTGGAAAGTCTATGTTTCTACTGATCACTACCCTGCCATCATCCTGGAAAAGCTGCAGTTATTTAATATCTACAAACATTTTAATCCAACAACTGTGTAGTGAGAAGCAAAATAGAAAACTCAGTTCCCAAAACGGCACTTAAATAAGAAAAAAATGTATAAGCATATTTCAGAGAGAATTTCAGAAGAGGAGATAAAAGATGAAATGAAGAAATTGCTCTTTTACCTTGCCCGGCCAGGGAAGGCAAATGCTGTGTCTGTGAACTAAGCCGGTGCATGTCACTTGCCTCTTTTTCCAATTCTTGTTGGTTACTGCTGGTGCCAGGGTTTCATGAAACTTCCCCATGAGAGAAGGGCGGACAGCTTGAATCTGCAGGTGCCATACAGCACAGGCCTACCAGAAGATGCTTACAAAGCACTCTCCAGCACTAGCCTTGATCCCAACATCACCTGTCCTTCCACAGAAAATTGTTAGGAAGATATCCAGAAAGCAGTGATTATACTGTGGCAGTGATTGGGGTCTTTCCTGAGCTCCTTCTACTGAGCCCCTGATGATGAAGGATCTAGATGAGATGCATGAATCTGTTGTAGGCTCCTACCAGTCCACAGCACATGGAGAGAACATGTTCCCTGCTTGCTGTAGAGTGTACAATGCAGCACACATCTGTGACCACTGTGGAGACTGTTATGTACCATTTCACTGCTTGTCAACAATGTAACACATTTCATGTTTTTTCCTAAAACCATTGTTTGTAAAACTCAGCAAGTTGGTGCCTTCCATTTCCCCTTTTCTTTACTGTCATACTCTACCCAGAAGGACTTAATGGAAAAACTGTAAAAGGTGTTGGAAGCTAGTGAGATCAGGATATTTGAGAGTACCCTAGGCACAGTGAGTGAGTGATGTAGGACAGTGGTTGAGAACATGAGAGCTTCTACTCGTGGTCTCTGTACAGGTTCTTACAGCTAGAAGTTGGGCACTGTGCCTCTCAGTTTACTTCTGAGCTCCTTTACTCAGTTCTCACAGTAAAGCATTGTGAAGAAGTGTTTCATGTTGTTCTTCTGCTTACAATGCTGCCTGTAGCCCTTTCTGGTTTGGAATTTCTTGAGCCTCATTTGGGAACCTCTGAGGTCCCTGGGCTTTGGGGTCCTTGTTCTACCAACTCATATCCAATTCTAGGTCTCTGCATCTTTTCTTGAGCTTGTTTTTTGCTCTGCTGCTTTTTGTTTGTTTGTTTTCATTACTGTGAATCTCTCAACTTCTGTCTAGTGTTAGGAGGTGTAGCAGGGATCATGGCACAGCACACCTGATCCCACCATGCTTACCGTGTTGGTCTTTCACCTCCCTTTATTCCTTTTCATCCCTGTCCTCTGCTCCCTCCAAATGTCTCCTTCCACTACCCAGAAGTTGTATATTCACTCAGGGTTCCATGGCCTCAAATCTTGTGTTCATTCCTGTGGAAAACTGTCCCCAAGACCAGTTCCCCTTTCTGTTCTGGCATCTTCTAAATCACACCTCCAGAGAAGTGCCATGCACTGCCACATCCTCAGTGGATTTTGTTTACTTGAATGCTTCTGATGTAAAATCTCCCACCACTGACTGAGATGTCTCGTTACCCTCTAAGTCAGTTGTGAAGCCTTCTGTGACCCCAGTACCTAGAGCTGGCATCTTCACTTGGTGCCTGCAGTGCCTTGCATGGTGCTGTAGCTCAGGGAGTATCACTATCTAGACTTCACCATAGGACGTGTTGTCCTTCAAGACGGATTTTACTACCTTCCCCTGGACGCTTTCCAGAGTGTCTGGTACCTAGATATTGTGAAAGGCAGAGAACAGCCCAAAAGTAAGGTGTGTGTGTGTGTGTGTGTGTGTGTGTGTGAGTGTGTGTGTGTGTGTGTGTGTGTGTGAATGAAAGGTAAATTATGCCACTGATTTAGTTCATTGAAAACTGTGGTTGGTATTTACATTGTTTGATCAATTGTGCATGCCTTTATCCTATGAACTGAGCAATGACTTTGATATATTAAGCTTTGTCAGTTTGGTATTAAATTGTGTTTGAAGTTTTGTATGTTTTCAATTTTTCCTCTTTAAAATAAACAGCAAATTGATGTAGAGAAATTCTGATCTAGGCAAACTAATATAATACCTGAAGACAAAGATGCAGGCCAGCAGCCATGCACTGGAGGCCAAGATGGAGAAGACTTCCATGGCCACCATCACCTTCCCCTTGCTGCTGTGGTACATGATGAGAAAGGTGACTCACACACTGCAGAACACCAGCATAATGACTGCAAGGAACTTGGCTTCATTAAAGGTGTCAGGTAGATTCCTGCCAAGAAAGCCCCACCATGAAGCTCACGAGGGCTAGAAAGCCCAAGTATCTCAGGACACTGTATACAGCAGTGAGTGCACAATGATAATGTGGCCATGTCTAGAGTATGTGTCTGTTTCGACGTAGGGTGGACTTGTTCCCACCCAGACTCCAATGAGGGTGAGTGTGATCAGGGATCCAATGGGGATGATTGACTTTGGTGCCCCTGACACCAACAATTACATGATCTGTTTGCCTGGAGCAGTGAGCTTAAAGTGCAAAATCAA